GAGGTAGGGGAGGTCGTATAAGAGGCCATACAAACAATTATGGGGGCCATAGTGGACCTCGCTCCTATACTCACTGTGGTCGTAGAGGACATACTGTTGATTTTTGTTAGAATTTACATGAAAAACCTTCTAGTGCTGCTAATCAAGTTTCCTATCAAGATGACACATTGGTTGTTATTTCTATACCTCGGTCAACTCCACCAAACTTTGGGTCGGTTATTATTACATGAGAGGAGATGCTCAATTCTTATCCCAGCAACAGGCTGTCCCACTTTCTCCACTACTACTTTTGCCTAGTCAGGTACCGCTTCCAGTTGTTCATTGTCCTCCACTCGTAGTCCCTGGATCATAGACTTTGGTGCCTCTAAACACATGACTGGTGCGTCTGGTGTCTATTTTACTTATCAGTCTGCTACTTTCACATGTTACTCTTACTAATGGTATTTACTCTAAAGTTTCATGTTTGGAGACTACTCAATTGAGTCTTGATATGTCCCTATCCTCCGTATTATTTGTTCTTCAGTTTCTTTTTAATTTACTTTCCATGAGCAAGATTACATGTTCTCTTAATTGTTTCATAACATTTTATCCCTATTATTGTGTATTTTAGGATCTCAAAATGAAGAGAAAAATTGGTACAGGGCATAAAGTTGGTGGCCTATATTACTTTGACCTTGATTCAACTACTCAGGCTCTACAGACCTCGTTGTCTCTTTTTCAATGGCATTGTCGTCCTGGACATCTTTCTCTCTAGATGATGCGTTAAGTTCCCAGTCTTAGTTATGTGTCGTCTATGTCTTGTGAAACTTGTCAACTTAGTAAACATCATCGTGTGCCCTTTCAATCTAGATCTTGTTCCTTTATCTCCTGGTAAACGAAGCGTTGGTTGTTGTTGAATGTATACTGTTAAACTTAATCCGGATGATTCTGTAGAGCATCTCAAAGTCCGTCTTGTTACAAAGGGTTTTACTCAGACATATGGTGTTGACTATGAGGAGACTCTCTCCTGTTGCCAAAATCTCTTCTGCTCGTGTTTTGATTTTTTTAGCTGCTAATTTTGATTGACCCTTGTTTCAGTTAGATGTCACGAATGTCGTCCTACATGGTGACTTGATTGAAGAAGTATACATGGAGCAACCACCTGGATTTACTACTTAGGAGGAGTACGGTAAGAGTGTATATCGGTTAATGAAATCTTTGTATGGTTTAAAGCAATCACAGAGGGCATGATTTGATAAGTTTTCAGATGTAATTTTAGAGTTTGGTCTTCTTCGATGTTAGACAGACTATTATGTGTTTCATAAACAGACGGATACCAAAAATGTTCTATTGATGGTTATGTAGATGATATTTTGATTACTATAAATGATTCTGAAGGGATTGTCAAGTTAAAAACCTTCTTGCAAGACCGATTTCATATTAAGGATTTAAAAAAATTCAAGTATTTTTTAGGTGTTGAGGTGGCTCAATCTAAACAGGGTATTTGTTTATCCTTGAGGAAATACGTACTTACCATACTAGATGAAGCAGGTTTGTTGGGTCATAAACCAATTGATGTTCTTATAGATCCGAATCAGAAATTGTTAATGGATGATAATGCACTGTTTGAGAATCTAGGTCGATATCATCGGTTGGTTGGGACAATGTTTGGAAAAACTCGCCTAGGCGAGAAGCGAGACAAAACGAGGTCACATCGTCTTGAGGATCCCAAGTGAAACGAATGTGACTGAAACAAGGAAAAAGCGAGCACCTTGAAGTTTAGCGAAAGACAAAAAAGCGAGCACCTTAGTTATGTGAGACGATGTAGTCTTTTAATTTTATTGTGGACCGTTGAATTGTTTTATTTTTATTGTGGACTGTTGGATTGGAGTAACTGGAAAAAAAATTATAAGATGTCAATACACCAAATTACCCCTTTATACCATAAATATAAAACCAAAACCCTAATTTCAGTATCAGACGATCGTAGCTGGCATTGCTGCTACTCCTCCTTCTTCTCTGATCAGACGATCTACTGTTGGCTCATCACGACTCCTTCCTCGCTGATCAGAGACGAAGACTGTTGTTGTTTCTCTTTCCTCGCTGGTCCAGGTTTGTCTCCTCTTTTTCTTCTCTCTTTTGTTTTTCTTCTTCCTCTCTGGTTCTTCTTCTTTTCTACTTCTTCTTTCTGGTTCTTTTTCTTTTTGATTCTGATTCTGTTTTTTTTTTTTTTTTGCTTATGTTTTTTTTCTGCTTTTTCTTTCTATTTTTTTTTGTCTCTTCTTTTTAGTTCTTCTTCTTTCTGCTTCTTCGTTGTTTTTTTCGCTTCTATTTTTNTTTTTTTTTTTTTTTTTTGTTTCTTTTTTTTTTTTTTTTTTTTTTTTTTTTTTTTTTTTTTTTGCTTATGTTTTTTTTCTGCTTTTTCTTTCTATTTTTTTTTGTCTCTTCTTTTTAGTTCTTCTTCTTTCTGCTTCTTCGTTGTTTTTTTCGCTTCTATTTTTTTTCTTCTTTTTGGTTCTGATTCTGCTTTTACTCTTTTTTTTATTTTATTTTTTTTGCTTTTTCTTTGATAATGAATGCTACTTCTTTGTAAGTCTGATTTTCTGATGATTCTAATTTTCTGATTTTCAGTTGATGCTTCTGCTTCTTTAATGATGAATGTTGATGATTCTGATTCTTTAATACAGCTGCTTCTTTAATAGTTGTATAGCTGATGATTCTGATTTTCTAATGCTATTTTTTTGTATAGCTGATAATTCTTTAATGCTGATTTGCTAATGTATAGCACTTCTTTAATGCTGTTTTTTTGTAATCTTGATGCTGAATGTTGTAATGTTGAATGTTGATAGTGCTGATTTTGCTGATAGTATTGTAGTGTTGAATGCAAATAGTACTGATTTTGTTGAATGCTGATGTGCTGATTTTTTGTTAATTTTTTTATTCTAATTTTAAATATTTATGGTTTTACTTGCATTTAAATATTTAGTATTGATAAAATTAGAACTTAGATGTTTAGAAGTAATTAAACTAAAATATTTACTTTTTTTTTTAACTATTTGCTTCGCTTTGGTAAAGCATTTTGCTCCGTTTCTCGCTTCTTGCTTCTCGCTTCTCCCCTAGGCTTTAGGAGTCTTAATTGTTTTGGTTCGCTTTACGCCATAAATAATACTGGGTTGGGAAGCTCAATTATATCACTATTACTTGATTGGATATTTTTTATGCAGTTAGTATAGTAAGTCGGTTTATGGGATATCTTAGAGTACCACATTAGGAGGGAGTTACTAGTATGCTACAATATTTCGAGCGGGCTCCTGTCCTTGGTCTGTTATATCAAGCTAATGGATATTTTAGAGTGGAAGGTTTCCCGGATGCTAATTAAGTTGGCTCTCTTTCTGATTAAAGATCAACCACCAGTTATTATACTTTCTTAGAAGGTAACGTTAGCCTACGAAAATGTAAAAAATAGCCCGTGGTAGCGAGATCTAATACTGAGGCTGAATATAGGGTAATGTCACATACAACGAGTGAATAGACGTGGCTACTACACTTTCTCAAAAAAATTGGAATTTTAGTTCAACCTCTTTTACAATTTTTTTGTGACAACCAAACAGCTATCCATATCGTTGTCAATCCAGTGTTTCACGAGAGAACCAAACATATTTAAGTTGATTGTCATTTTATTCGAGACAACATAGTAGCTGGAGAGATCACGACTCTATGTGTGAGATTTGAAGATCAACTTACAGATATATTTACCAAAGTATTGAGTCGTACACGTCTTACAACAATTTGTTCCAAACTTATATTATATGATATATATATATATATATTCCAGTTTGAGAGGGAGTGTTAATAGTATTAAGGTATTATGTGTAAATATTATAGAGTATATGTCTTTTGTATTATTATAAGTTAACTACAAATACAAGTGGTTTGTGAGGGTAGGTTAAGTTTTTGACCACTCTTTGTCTTTCTCTAATATATATATATATATATATATTTGGTGAACCTCGATGGTACGAGAGAATTTTATTAATTCAAAGATTAAATTACACCTAGTTAGGGAAGACGTATTTACCCTTCGATGCAATCTAATTACAATAAAAAGATTAAATATTTTTTTTGTCTTTCTCTAATATTGTGTTAATCCTCTCAATTTAACATAATCCATTGCAATATTAATCAAAAAATTAATATTTGTTAAGTTTTATTATTAATATTATATAATATACATGCTTTATTTTTAATATATTATAACTCGATTATTATCTAAAAAATATATTATATTATTTTAATAGTCATATCCTTCCGGTATTTATGTCCTATATTTTTAAATTTTGTAGTATCCCCATGTCTATACCGTATTGGATACGATACTCATGTCCGTGCTTCCTAGTTTCTTAGTCTCACTTGTCAAGTACCCATGCAAAGAAATAGCCTAAACACGGTAACAAACAAGCTTGTGAGCCAAACAAACCAGTGATCATGACAACTATGTGCTTCCTCTATTAATTAGAAGAGAGGAGTTGCACCCAAGAGCTCAAACAACTCAATCCACTTCCTCTAGCACTAGTAGAATCCAAACTACCTTTCAACATCATTGCACAATATAAAAAGAGCAAAAGAATCAAGCACTAACAGGAAATAACAATTCGCGACTAGAAAAATACCCAATAATTACTTCAAGTATAGAACCAAAAGCTTCTTAGTGTATATAATCCATTAGCATGCCAAGAAAACAAGGATTATGGAATTTGCTTTCCTATAACGGTAGCAAATCACCACAAACCAAACCGCCAAAAAGCAAATATGACAAAAAACCATGCTAAATTGATCGAATCGCATCCAAAATTGAAGGGCATTGCCTCTTAACCCTAGACACACCACCTAGAAGAGATTCGAACCAAAATGACCATGACAGCGTTCAAAGCAGCCAGATTTCAGGTCAGCAAGCTCTCAAACCGAAAATCATTAAAAAATAAAATCCGAGCAGATGACTCTGAAAAGAAAACCATTATGTTTTAACAGTGATGAAGATCAAACCCTGGAATGGATTGTCCAACTAACTCCGTCCAGGTCGATTGCTGGCGTCAGCAGGTTGAATATTGATGTGAGCATGTAGTGAAAAATATCTGAAGGGTCCGATCAGAGCACTTTGATACCAAGTTAGACCGTAAGATTTCAAGGTTTGAAGGAGAAGAGAATTTTTGGAGAAGAATAAGAGAGGAGAGATAAAATATGTTGTGAAGCGTAATGCGTTAGGGTACAACTCCATCGCAACTTATGTATAAACACAATGAGTCATAAAAATACAAAAAACCATTAACTAAACTAAACATAACATAACATAACAAGAACAAAACCTTAAAGCTTGTTACCTGACCCACGCAAGTCACAAATTTTGAAGCAAAAAGTTCCTCATCTGCAATTACGGGCCCAACCATATTATCACCAGGCACATCTTTATGGAAAAAAATTCCTGCAAATCCAGGAGCAGATTTGGCTCCTGAATCATCTATGGAAAGTAAACGAGCATGAGGTTTTCTACTCAATATCAGCGCAGCATGTAAACAGTTGGGAGGTGTTGGTGTATCATCAGCATACTCCGCCTCCCCCGTGACCTGGAAATAGTTATAAGAGCAGCAATAAGTCAAACGGTCACTTCTCTAGAAGAAATGCAACATCATATAGTCACATAATTCATGGAAAACAACAAACACATCCCAAGCCCCCAGGGTGGGGCAATTTTTGAGTTAACTAGCCGGCTCTAATGGGTAAAGCTCATAGGAACACAGTGACTTACACCTTTCTATCATCAAAAAGCTCCCTCACAGGTGGCACTCCTCTCTGCGGTGAGTGGGTAACACACAAACATGTAAAGAGCTTTGTAAGTTGTAACAAAGTATTCATATTATAGAAAAGAGAAACAAATCCACAAAGATAAAAAAAAATCAAGGAAAAAACTTTAAAACATAAAATTCTATCAGTCCTCATTCCGTATCACTTAAATTTAATCTGTTTGATGTGGGAACATGTGTAGCTTAGGTCAAACATAAGATTTAATCATGGAGGGACATAATGTTTTAATGGATAGAAGTTCACAAGTTGAGAAGCCTACTTTAAGAGCTCAATGACGCTATTAGCATAACAAGGTGGGTCAAAACTGCTTTGTTTGACTCTGCCGAATAAATCGGACATTTGTCAAAATCTACAACCAATTCATTTGTGTTGTATTTTTTTATATGGTCGATTCACTGTACTGTAATCATCCTGTACACATATTGAGGGTGCATGTACTTGTAGCTCCTCAATGATCAACAAATAGACAATAGACCACACTTCGAAAAAGAAGCGTGCCATAAAAGTATTAGAAACACACCATAGGTCCATATTAGAAACAGTAAAACACCCATAAAAGTATGCATATGTCAAAAGGGAACTGTAAATGAAATTAAAAAGTGATTAGCATCTAAAAAGCACGGATATGGATATGGATGTCATATCCGATACGACACAGACACGGAAACACTGAAAATTTTCAAAATATAGAATACGAGTATGGCGAAGATATGTCTAATTAAAATAATATTACATAATTTTTTTTATATAAATAACAGATTAATAATAACACTTAACATGATTGAGTAGTTGGTTAGAATCTTAAAATCTTATAATTGGACAATGGGCTAATGTGTACAATTGGGCAGTCGACTAATAACAAAGTGTGTTGCGGGTAAATTTATTTGACAACAAATAAATAAATTATACCCAAAAAAGAATAAAAATATTAAAAAAAGAAGCGAAGGAAAAGTCTTAGTTAAAATTGAGAGAGAGGTAGAGAGAGAGAGAAAGAGAAAAGAAAAAGAGAAGGGCAACCGACGGCAACACCCATAGTAGATCCATCCGAAGCACAGATCATTAAAGCAACGTGGAAGAAAAAGAAGGCATGAAGAAGATTTGGTAGCAGATCTAACGTTGAAGCCTTCGCCTCTTTTTGAAGCAGATCCAAGGCCTTCGCCTTGAAGCAGATCCGAAGCCTTCAACTATTCTTCTCTACTCTATGTCCAAGTTTCCTTCTTTTTTTTCTCTTTTCTCAGCCTCATATCCCCCCATATCTCCGATGTATCCGAACCGTATTTGACTACCAAAAATCCTTGTTCGTTGTGCAGGAACTCGTATAATTGTTGTATAATTGTCGAACACGTGTCTGACACCACCACGACAACCTCCCGGCGAGTATCCGTACTTTCTAGATTAGCATCAACCAACGGAAAAAAGTAGTCACGGCCTATGATAACGCATCCCCAAAAGCCTTCCAATGTAATATAAAAATATCATTTCAAAGCCCTTCAAGTGCTTGAATGTTTTGGGGAAAACTGTTAACTTGTTAAAAGGGCACTTTTGTAAATTTTTGTCATTATCTATGACTGTTACTCAATCCAAACCAAGCAAAAGGTTTACTAATACTAAGAAAAGATCTCCCATGAACAGAATAGTTCAGAAAGAAATGATTGCTGTCATGGATCTCATGAAAAGTCCAGCGACGTTAAAAGTGCAGATACTTTTGCAGGTGTGTATGCAAATCACAGTAGGGAACCACCATATTAGAGTATTTGACAACTTGCTAGACCAATCTATATTAAAAGAAATCAAAAACAGAGAAATGGTATAAGCTGCTAAATTTAGGAATTGATTTCAGAGAAAATAAAAAGATGGAACGGTAGCAAAGAAAACAATTAACACCTTGATGAATCAATTACTCAGCACAAAAACTTGTCCAAGGATGCCCAAAGAGTTTCTAAAAGAGCACTGCAAAAAAAGGTTGCAGTCATAGCTTGGAGAAGAATGCATCATAGCCAATTGCAATCCCAGAACATACTAAAATGCACACCAAGATGCAAATATCATCAACACATAGAATAATAGTGCTGGTAGAGTTCACACCTGAAGTCTTGCAGAGAGATGAACCTCTGGATACCCCACTGCAGTCCCATTTTTCATAGTTTCAAAGTCCTGACTTCCCATAACAGATGGCCGGTGAAATGACTTTATAGCGGATAGATGAGATAATGGTACACTTTCAGCATCCATTTGTTGAGAAACCCACAGGAAAAATTTGAAGAAGAAGCTTAGAGTCAAAGATCTCCGGAACTCCACCATCCCACCTGGTGCATCCTCCTTCAGAAAAATGTCATTCTCCAAGACTTTCAAGGCACCCTGCAACAGCTCCTTGTTCCAACTCTTCCCAATTAGAAAATCTTTTGTTCTTGATGCACGAAGAGAAAGAGGAGCAACTCCACCATAAACAATCGATGCATCTGAAATGACCCACTTTTGATTCTTCTCTTCAAGAATAACCCGCATTCCAGCATTTACAATTGCAATATCATCATCCCTCCGGTGAGCCTGCTTAAATTCTTTCACATGCTCAAATGGTCGAGTCCAAGGTAAAAATATTGAGAGTAAAACTTCACCACTTGCCAAATCCACCTTACGATAACCTAAGAAGAAATTTTCTGCGAGGGTTGTTCTAATGTTTCCTTTGCAATCAATGATTCGAAACATTGCTCTTGCCGCCATCCAGAGAGGGTTCAAGTCCGATATAGGACTGGCAGTACAGATATTCCCACCAACGGATGCCACATTCTTTATCTGTGTTCCAGCAAACCATTTTATCTGTTCAATGAAGGCCCTACAAGACGAGGTTTCATAAGATGCACGCTCTGCTGTAACCTTTTTTAAAACTTTCACCAGTTCTGACAGTCTTACAGCAGCACCTATCTCCATGCCATCATCCTTCACACTTAGCATATTCAGTTCAGGTACATGAGTAACAGAGATCAGAACTGGGTAATGCATACTTTTTAACCTCATTTCAATCCCCACCTCAGTGTTACCTACAACTAATTTTGCGTCCGGGTATCTTGCTTTTAGGTCAAAAACATGTTGAAGTCCAATGGGTCTAAACCACTTAAGCCCACCAAATCCGCTCAAGTTCAAATAACACAATTTCCTCAATAGCAGCTCAGGAGGAAATATGAGCTCTTTGTTGGTGTAGGCGGTCCCATCTATTTCACTGTAAGAGACAGGCCTATATCCATGATTGCAACCCATACTCTGTTCAATGGTCTCTTTGTCGCTTGCAGTTTCCGATCTGCAAGAACAGGGTTTACCGGTGGAAGGGCAAACAAACTCACCCTTATTGAGTTTCTGTGCAGATCTATCAGTGTATAGCATATCATTAGTTTTGGCAAAGACTCGAAATGAATCAACAATCGGTCTGTAACCTGTACATCGACACAAATTTCCTGCAAGGCTTTCTTCAATCTGCTCATCACTAGGTTCTTTTTGACTTGACCTTAACAAAGCGTACATGGACATAATAAAACCAGGCGTACAAAATCCACATTGTGAGCCATGAGCACTTGCCAATGATTCCTGCAGAATTTTATGGGCATACCAGACATGCTATAGATGTCATAACCATGAACTATGTGAAGCACAAGAAGACAGCAAAAAACATTCCTAGTAGAAGAAACCTATGCTGCTACAATATCCAGAAAATGAGGAAGTAATCATGTAAATTAGGACTTCTAAAGAGTTTGTAACGATTTGGCCACATTTTTCCATTAACTATAATGATTGAACAGCTTTACCCTATCAGAGTTATTATAATCATTAATTCTCTTGAATAACTGGAATCTTGAGGCAGGCACAAAAACTGAGCAAGAAGTAGCTTTTCAGGTGCTTAGTTCTCCATTTTCCTGGGGATAATGGATACCACTTGATACCCCGCGAGTTAAAAAAAAAAGGTGAATACCCTCACCACTCCGGGCATATAATATATAGATTGTATTGTCTAGTTTTAGAAATAGATGATGATGTAGTAAATCATTATGCGCTATTTTGACTAAAAGCAGCTGTTCATAAAATTAAAATTAAAATTAAATATCATTATGGGTATATTACCCCACAATGTTCATAAAATTAAATATAAAGTTAGACCATGCAAACCCAAGGTAACAAGTTTATGTCCATGGTAACTTATCTGTTTAGAAATATAAATTAAAGAATGATATACTTCTTCTTACTGTAAAGATAATATCTAGATATCAGATGACAAAATAATTAAGAAATATTAATCAGGTGTGTGGGCGTATTTACATTTTTGGAGGGCAATTAGTGTCCGGCCGACACATAGGTAGGCCAATATCCAAACTCAAACTAGTTTATTTTCAGCAAGAAGGACAGCTCAGGATAGACTTTCCATGCCAGCAACTAGAATCTCACTCTACTGTTCAGTCCACCGACTGCCCTACTGTTCAGTCCACTCCACCGACTGATTACAAAACCAGCAAACCAGCTTTCCTCATTACCGACTGCCTACACCGACTGCCCTGAACCCACCGAAAGCAACAATAGCACCTGCAATCTAAAACCAAGACTGTCCTGTACCCCTACTGTCCACCGCCTGCAACGACAACCAAACCAAGTCCATCCACAGACAGCAACAAGCACCGACTGACAAACCACAACCGACTGCACCCACATATCACCTACAATCTAAAACCCAAAGCCGACAGCACCCAAAACCCAGCCAGCAAACCAAGCCCAACCGACGCAATGCCCAAGCACCGACAACCAAGCACAAACCCAAACAAACCCCACAAGCCCAGCTACAAACACCCAGCCCAAACCCCACTGCCCACAAGCCCAGCGGCAAACACCCAGCCCAAACCCCATTGTCCAAACCCACCCCACTGCCCAAACCCAGACCAGTCCACTACCCGCAACGCACCCAGCCCAGGCCCAAACCCAGCAAACCAGCCCATTGCCGGGTTGCACTCTTCATCACAACTTCGTTTTGCTTTCGTGCTTCGCGCTCTTTGTCATAGTGTCGCAGCATTTGAGCCCTTTTAAATGGGATTGAATTCTCTTTTCCGTTGGACCTTCTTTATTTGTCGCTATTGTTCGATTGAAGATATATTATTCTCTCTTATCTTATCTTTCTATTTATCTTAGAGTTGTTTTTCTGTCACGAGCGTCCTAATATTGTTGTTAATATGACTACTACTGAAGGACATGAAACTCCTACTATTGACACCTCTACCATTGAGACATCTATTGATACTTTCCACTTTTATGTTTGACCAGTATATAATACCTACTGGCATAGTTGCATTACCAGCACTGTCGAATATGATCTCTCAGAAAGTTACAGCATAGTTGTTGAATGACCGTAACTTCGCTGAGTGGTCTCGCTTATTCCAGTTTTTCTTAGGCCGTGTAAGAAAGCTTGGTTGGCTGACGGGATCTCACCCAAAGCCAACTGACGTCATTCTTGGATGGTTATTTGGCTCGATGGAGTCATCTGTTTGTAGGATTCACTAATTTCATAGCTTTGTTCTGAAGCAATGGAGTGCATTATCAGAGATGTATTCTCAGTCAAGACGGGGAGTTCGTGTTTATAAGCTTTCTCAAGCTCTCATATGCTCGGCAGGGAGATCTAACCATTCAGGATTATTTTGGCTATTTGACCCAACGCTGACTTAAGTATGAGACTCTACGTCCTCTTGCTACTATTCCAAGAATAGAGCCTGAGCGAGCAGCATTCTTGCATACTCGAAAGTAGGAGGATAGGATTCACAAGTTCGTTATGAAACTTCGTGATGAGTTTGAGGAACCTCGTTCTTAGATTTTGTTGATGTTAACATTTCATTCTCTTTATGAGGTGTATACGATAATTGAGCAGCATGAGCGCCGCGTCCGTATTGCATCACTTCCAGTTGCGCCCTTGACTCCTCTGGCTGATCATATATGACCCTTGCAATTACTGCGGGGTTTCATTCAAGATCCTTAGTCAGGGGTGTGCAACGCTCAAACCAGCACTGTTAGGGTACCCCAGATTAGCGCAAACAGGGGGATTCCTGTCAGTGTGATTATTGTAGCTGATTAGGACATCTCAGGACTGCTTGCTGGAAGCTCCATCTAGAGCTTAAGTCACTTCCTCGTGGTTGTACTGTTGTTATTGCTAAGGTATCACTACTTACTATCGGTACTCTTGCTACTGTTCCTCCTTGGCTGAGTGATATGGATGCTATCACTTCTCGATTAGATATACGTATGTTTGCTTTGACTTCTTAGAGTCCGACTACTACTACTACCACCACCATAGGTATACCTCGTGTCTTTCATGCTTGTGTTAGTCTATCTTCCCTTTGGATGCTGGACTCGGGTGTGAATGGTCACATGACAGGTTAGACTCATCACTTTACCACTTTTGACGAACAGTTACATGCACAAGTTCAGCTAACAAATGGAACACATGCCCTTATTGTTAGTAGGGATACAGTCCACCTCTCAGATGACTTTACATTACGTTCGATTTTTCATGCACCAAAGTTGGCCATGAATCTATTATTTGTCGATCAGTTAGTCAGAGATTTTCATTGTTCGGTTGTGTTCTTATCTAATTCGTGTTATTTGCAGGGCCTAAGTACGAGGAGGATTATTATTAGGGGACATGAGAGAGATGAATTGTATTATCTAGGCAATCCACCTCCAGTTTCACCAGTTCCTCCACCTACATCACGTGCACTTGCTTTGTCTTTATTTGTTCCTAGTTTGCATGCTAGTATTTTACCTAATAGTTGTCATTATGATTTTTCGTTACAAACTGTTTAGTTGTGGCATGACTGTTTTGGACATACAAATTTTAAATATTTATGTATGTTGTTTCCTACTTGGGGCAACGCTTGTGTTAGTCGTAAACTTGACTGTATAATATGTTCCCTATTGAAACATGTTAAGACCAGTTATATTCCTCGCATGCACCAGTCACATAAACCATTTGACCTAATACACTTTGATATTTGGGGACCCTCTCCTGTTACTGCTCTGTTAGGTGTTCGATACTATGTGACATTTATAGATGACCAAACTTGTTGTACTTAGGTCTACCTTTTGTATAGAAAGTCCAATGTACTCCCTATAATCACTCAGTTTCTCCAGATGATTAAGACAGAATTCGATGTCATTATCCATGCTCTTCGTTCGAATAATACCAAAGAATATATGTCTGATGCCTTAGTGTCTCACCTTTCTTCTTAGGGTATTCTTCAACAACTCACTTGTCCGTATATTCTTAAGCAAAATAGCGTTGTTGAAAGGAAAAATAGGAGTTTGATAGGGATGATACGTTGTATACTTAGAAGCATGGGGTACTAAAATGTTATTGGCATTTTGTTGTTTTGACATCTACCTTTCTGTGCAATCGTACACTGAGTAGTGTTCTTCAGCATAGGGCTCCTTATAGGTCTTATTCCCTAAGCGAACACCTTTTTCGGTCCTCCCTTTGTGTTTTTGGATGCATATATTTTGTTCAAGATCAGTCTTCTACTAGCCATAAACTTGATAATAAAGTGATTAGTTGTGTCTTTGCGGGCTATTGTCATCAGTCTAAGTGGTATCAGTGTTATGATCCTATTAGGCGTTGTATGTATCACAATTTAGATGTTACCTTTCTTGAGTATATTTCTTATTTTGCTTCCAGTTCTGTGTCTGCCCCTCCAGTTGATGATGCTCCCTTTGATTTTCATTACCACAGGAGCCAGAGCCATTTGTCACTATCACTAAAGAGTCATCCGTCTCTCATCCTGCAGAGTCACTCATCCTTGTCAGTACAGAGTCACCAGTCTTTCTTCCTTTGCAGGTTTATGTTCGTCACCCTCACATTCATCCCCCTGTTGATGTCTCCTCTACCTCAGATGATGAAGGTAATAATTATTAGTTCGTTGAGCATATTGATGTATCTATTGTTAGTACTGATGAGATTGTAGGTACTAAGCCAGTTACTTTACCTGATGAGACATTGTCAGTAGAGGATGATGATTTAGGGTGTCGTTATCCGCGGCATGATCGTTGTCCAGTTGCTCGTTATGGTTGGACCGTTAGAATTTTATATCCGATCTCTGCTTATGTTTCTTATGGTGATCTGTCTCCTATATTTTGAGCTTAGAGTATGGTCTTATCAGATACGCCAGTTCCTTGCTCTATTTTAGAGGCTATGTGGGAGCTCCAATGGGTTCTTGCCATACAGGCAGAGANTAGGGGACATGAGAGAGATGAATTGTATTATCTAGGCAATCCACCTCCAGTTTCACCAGTTCCTCCACCTACATCACGTGCACTTGCTTTGTCTTTATTTGTTCCTAGTTTGCATGCTAGTATTTTACCTAATAGTTGTCATTATGATTTTTCGTTACAAACTGTTTAGTTGTGGCATGACTGTTTTGGACATACAAATTTTAAATATTTATGTATGTTGTTTCCTACTTGGGGCAACGCTTGTGTTAGTCGTAAACTTGACTGTATAATATGTTCCCTATTGAAACATGTTAAGACCAGTTATATTCCTCGCATGCACCAGTCACATAAACCATTTGACCTAATACACTTTGATATTTGGGGACCCTCTCCTGTTACTGCTCTGTTAGGTGTTCGATACTATGTGACATTTATAGATGACCAAACTTGTTGTACTTAGGTCTACCTTTTGTATAGAAAGTCCAATGTACTCCCTATAATCACTCAGTTTCTCCAGATGATTAAGACAGAATTCGATGTCATTATCCATGCTCTTCGTTCGAATAATACCAAAGAATATATGTCTGATGCCTTAGTGTCTCACCTTTCTTCTTAGGGTATTCTTCAACAACTCACTTGTCCGTATATTCTTAAGCAAAATAGCGTTGTTGAAAGGAAAAATAGGAGTTTGATAGGGATGATACGTTGTATACTTAGAAGCATGGGGTACTAAAATGTTATTGGCATTTTGTTGTTTTGACATCTACCTTTCTGTGCAATCGTACACTGAGTAGTGTTCTTCAGCATAGGGCTCCTTATAGGTCTTATTCCCTAAGCGAACACCTTTTTCGGTCCTCCCTTTGTGTTTTTGGATGCATATATTTTGTTCAAGATCAGTCTTCTACTAGCCATAAACTTGATAATAAAGTGATTAGTTGTGTCTTTGCGGGCTATTGTCATCAGTCTAAGTGGTATCAGTGTTATGATCCTATTAGGCGTTGTATGTATCACAATTTAGATGTTACCTTTCTTGAGTATATTTCTTATTTTGCTTCCAGTTCTGTGTCTGCCCCTCCAGTTGATGATGCTCCCTTTGATTTTCATTACCACAGGAGCCAGAGCCATTTGTCACTATCACTAAAGAGTCATCCGTCTCTCATCCTGCAGAGTCACTCATCCTTGTCAGTACAGAGTCACCAGTCTTTCTTCCTTTGCAGGTTTATGTTCGTCACCCTCACATTCATCCCCCTGTTGATGTCTCCTCTACCTCAGATGATGAAGGTAATAATTATTAGTTCGTTGAGCATATTGATGTATCTATTGTTAGTACTGATGAGATTGTAGGTACTAAGCCAGTTACTTTACCTGATGAGACATTGTCAGTAGAGGATGATGATTTAGGGTGTCGTTATCCGCGGCATGATCGTTGTCCAGTTGCTCGTTATGGTTGGACCGTTAGAATTTTATATCCGATCTCTGCTTATGTTTCTTATGGTGATCTGTCTCCTATATTTTGAGCTTAGAGTATGGTCTTATCAGATACGCCAGTTCCTTGCTCTATTTTAGAGGCTATGTGGGAGCTCCAATGGGTTCTTGCCATACAGGCAGAGATGGATGCTCTTTAGTATAATCATACGCGGGATCTTGTTTCTTTACCTTCAGGGGTGAAGCCTTTTGGCTGTCGCTGGGTTTACACCCTGAAGTTTCTTGAGGATGGTACTATTGATCGTCACAAGGCTAGACTTGTGGCGAAGGGTTTCACTCTGGTACCAGTTCGTGATTTTTGTGCTACCTTTGCCCCTATGACAAAATTGACTACTGTTCGATTGATTATTTCTCTAGTTGTGGAGTACTCTTGGCCTCTTCATCAACTGTGTGTGAAGAATGCATGTCTTCACGGTGATCTAGACGAAATTATTTATATAGATGCACCACCAGGTCGTGGTGAGGAGGAGTATGCTAGAAAGGTATGTCGACTGCGGAAGTCTCTTTATGGACTAAAACAGTCACCACGAGTCTGATTCTCTCGCTTTAGTGTTGTAGTTGTACATTTAGGGTTCACTAGATGTCATTTTGATCATACCTGCTTCATTCGACGAAATATTTCTAGACAGTGTGTCATTCTTTTGGTATATTTTGATAATATTATTATTATTGGAGATGATACTTTTGGAACTACGCAGGTCAAGATAGACATTGGGAAAACCTTCTATGTGAAGATCCTAGGATTTCTACGATACTTTCTTGGGATTGAGATTTCCCGTGTCAGCAGGGGTATTATTCTTTCTTAGAGAAAGTATATTCTGGATCTTCTCTCAGGCACTGGAATGCTGGGGTGCAAACCGACATCATCACCCAAAATTCCAAACCTGAAGCTTACTGTTGAAGGTGAGAAGTTGAGAGGTTTGACTGTCTATCAGAGGTTGGTAGGTAGACTTATCTACCTAGTTAACACTAGACCAGATATTTCATTCGCTTTCAACTGAGTTGGTCAGTTTATGCACAGACCATGGTAACCTCATCTTGATGCAGTTTATCATATTTTTCTGTACCTTAAGTCTTATCCTGGACTTGGGTTGTTCTATGCATCAGGATCTCAAACTGGTTCTCTAACCTGTTATTCAGATTTAGATTATGAGAGATCGTGTGATGGTCGATCTACTATGGGCTTTTGTGCTTTTCGAGGGACTCATCTTATCTCTTGAAAAAACAATAAACAGTTAGTTGTCTCTTGTTTGTCAACAGAGGTAGAGTATTGGGCGCTGGCACTTAGCACATGTGAGATCATCTGGCTACGATTGATTCTTGGCGAGTTGAGATTTTCAATGACTTCTTCATCTACATTATAATATGATAATCGATCTACTATTCAGGTCACTTCTGACTCTGTGTTACATGAGAGGACGAAGCATATAAAGATCATTGTTAACTTCTTTTGAAAGAAGGTTAGTAGTGATATTGTCATTCCATCATTTGTGGGAACCAGTTATCAGGTTACGAATGTTTTCACCAAACCTGTCACTCTATCCATTCTTCGGGACTCCATTGTCAAGTTTGACTTAGTTGACATTTTGGCGCCTAACTTAAGGGGGAGTGTTGGAGTTATAGCAGCCTAGTTTCTTAAGGTTTATTAAAGCTTTCTTCTTTTTTTTTTACCTTTTTATTCTTATTGTAACTTTCATTAGTTATATATAGGAGTGCTCTACACTTAGTTTGTATTTCATTCACTCACAAATATTTCTAGTTAGACAAAGTTTACAAAGCTAAGAATTTGTAATATATTGATCCAAAGCATGCAAATTAGGAAGAGGCAATTCTAAAAATTTTCATGTAACACACATATTGGAGTATGAGTAGTGGACTTTAGGATTATATTTAACCTTATTGGATATTGACTTTAAGCTGATACACTGCACAAATTATTTTATATATCTCACATTTGATCTTAGGAGTCCAAGCCTACTTTGGATAGCATTGACCATGTGTACTAACCCATAGTCTATGGGCCTTTATTATGGGTCAGAATCCTACATTTGCATTTGCTTGGAAACTTAATAGACAAAAATATATTTGAGTCACATATTCATGAGTTCTCATTTTGAAGTCCTTGTGTTAACAGAATTTGCGGAAACTCTATAGCTTAAAAATATCAATGTTTTTCTTCCAGCCATGGTCAAAGTTTCTCTTTCACAAATAAAAATCAAAAAAGGGCAATTTCAGTATTTTCTTTGTGGGACACTTTTGGAGAATATATAACGTAAGATTAAATTTAATTTAATATGATGCTAGCAACAATTGATTAGTTCTTTATCCAATTTCAGCAATATAGCCAAAGTCTCTGGATCTTAATTTTTGTCTGTTTGCAGTATAGGATGGTCTTTAGAGCATTGAGTCATGAGAAATTTTTATTGGTAGTTTATGCTTTTGCCTATTCCTTGTCAAAGTGAAGTTTGGCAACATTACAAAGAGGAAACTCACTTTACACATAGTTAAAAGCATGCTTTGCTATCCATCAAAATTTTTATTACCTCGTCATAATCTACCTTTATAGAACGATTATGCCTAACTAAATTTTTTGAAACATCCTTATTGACACTTATTTAGTATTTTACACAAAATTTAAAGAATCAAATTAACATTTAGAGTTTATAGTTTTCATTGGATGTTTCGGTGGTCAGCGAGATGAGTCCCTGCTTAAGCTCGGTTATTATTTCTATCCAAAAAAAACAAATGTAGGATAGTTTGTTCTAGACTTATTAGCCACAAATTAGGAAGCCCATTAGTCGACATACACAATGGTGAGCACGACGAAGTTTTTGAAGTGATTCCAACTAATATCAGACTCTAAAGCTTATAAAGGGTAACAATTCAGAGCCATAGGAACTCTGAAGCTTTTTAAAGAACACTATCAATAGCAAAGAGGGTGCTGCCAACAAAAGCACATACCTGAATTGGATGCAAACCATGTCTGCGATTCCCTACTCCCTCCACTGTAATGATATGCATCCCCTCTACTGAGTATAGAGGAGCCAAGCAAGCATTAACTGCATGGTGCCTACAAAGATAATTAAGTTAAAAAAGGCAAAATGCATATTACATTACCACACAAACTTGATAAAAGTAAAATGGAGCTAAAAAAGGGAGAAACTTACGTACAAGATGTAGACAGGATTACCCCATCAATGCAGTTTTTCCACATAAATTTGAAACAAGTAAGCAAAGAAAGGAGAAGGAGAAGAAGGGAGATGAACGAAAATTAGGGTTTTCTTTAGTTAAATGATAAAATTGATATTAGGGTTTATGAGGGAAAGAAGATGGGTGAAAGAGAGAGAATCGAGAGGAATAATTAGTTGTGTAGACATTGTTGTCCTACACTCTCTTATTTATAATAAACTGACATTATGAGTAATTACACTCTTACCCTACACTACTAATAATCTTAAATAAGTACTCTAACACTCCCCCTCAAGTTGGAGCATTTAGCCTTGAACAAAGATTACTGAATATAAATCGAGACAATGGTTTTGTAAGGATGTCACCCAGCTAATTACTAGATTTGATGTATGATGTGATAATCTCTTTACGCTTCAAGAGATCTTGAATAAAATGACAATCCATTTCAATGTATTTAGTCCTCTCATAAAATACCGAACTGGGGGTAATGAATATAGTTGTTTAGTTGCCACAATGCAGCTCCATAAGAGAGGGCATAGTGAAACCCATATCACGAAATAGAGACTATAACCATAACATCTCACACAAAATATGAACCATGGCCTGATATTCAACCTCTGTGCTCGAACGAGCAACCATATTATATTTCTTACTATGCAAAGTATCAAGATTACTACCAATAAATGTATAATAACTTGAAGTAGACTGTCTATCATTACGACTATTTGCCCAATCAACATAAAAAAATCCACTAACAATCATGGAGGATGAAGGACGATATAATAATCCTTTAACTAGTGCTCTTTTCTNATTACTACCAATAAATGTATAATAACTTGAAGTAGACTGTCTATCATTACGACTATCTGCCCAATCAACATAAAAAAATCCACTAACAATCATGGAGGATGAAGGACGATATAATAATCCTTTAACTAGTGCTCTTTTCTGATACCGAAGAATACGACAAATAGCCTCCTAATGAGGCTTACGAGGAGTATACATGAACTGACTAACTACACCAACAACATGGATGATATTAGGACGTGTAACTGTAAGATAAATCAACCTACCAACCAACCTTCAATAACACCCTACATTATCAAACATTTCACCACTATCAATATCCAACTTGATCGTGGAGTCTATGGGAGTATCAGTTGGATGTGCACCAAGACTACCAGTTTCCAACAATAAATCCAACACATACTTTTGTTGGTACAAACTAATACTTTNCCTACCAACCAACCTTCAATAACACCCTACATTATCAAACATTTCACCACTATCAACATCCAACTTGATCGTGGAGTTTATGGGAGTATCAGTTGGATGTGCACCAAGACTACCAGTTTCCAACAATAAATCCAATACATACTTTTGTTGGTACAAACTAATACTTTCCTTGGACTGAAAAACTTCAATCTCAAAAAAATACCAAAGAAGACCTAAGTCTTTGGTATGAAATTTAGACGTAGCCCAACCTTATGGCTCATAAAGCGTGGGCTTTTAAGTCCCACAATTTGAGAATACCCCATAATTCTAATTATATAGTTAGTCCACATCAAATGTTTAAATCTATGAAAATGTTAAGCCCTGTNGAAGACCTAAGTCTTTGGTATGAAATTTAGACGTAGCCCAACCTTATGGCTCATAAAGCGTGGGCTTTAAGTCCCACAATTTGAGAATACCCCATAATTTTAATTATATAGTTAGTCCACATCAAATGTTTAAATCTATGAAAATGTTAAGCCCTATCAAGATTGTTCCAAAAAATTAAGCTCAATCAAAATTTATAATTTCAATAATTTGGGCCCGTGATCCAACCCATAACATTAGAACCCCAAAAATCAAAACTTAAAAAAAAAAAATACAGAAAATATCTACTCAAAAGTTAACTTATATTTACCTCACGCATCCTCTCTCTTTCTCTCTCTAGTAAAATATAGAAACAAAAGCTAAAAATTAAGCCCTCTTCTCTCTTTCTAGTAAAAAATAAAAGCAAAAATTAAAACATCTCTCTAGACAACATTGTCCTTCCCTCTCATTCTCTACCAAGCGTAACACCTCTTTCCCTCTCTCTCACACAAAAAAAAATAATTAATTTTAAATAAAAATTTTAATAGCAAAAATAAAAAGATCTCATTNAAAAGCAAAAATTAAAACATCTCTCTAGACAACATTGTCCTTCCCTCTCATTCTCTACCAAGCGTAACACCTCTTTCCCTCTCTCACACACAAAAAAAAAAAAAATTAATTTTAAATAAAAATTTTAATAGCAAAAATAAAAAGATCTCATTCGAGGTTATCACTTTAGACCTCAAAATTACCCTGAGTCACCTCTGATGAAACTGTTTCCCCAAATGAAACTTAAAGTGGGTAATACTATTTGCATCATCACCGGTACTGATAATGTCATTAATATACACAATAAGAATAATAACACTTGTGAAAAAATGACGAATAAAGCTGAATGGTCTGAAATAAAACGCTAAAAATCATACTGAAGAACAATAGGACTAAATTTATCAAACCAAGCACGTGGTAANTACACAATAAGAATAATAACACTTGTGAAAAAATGACGAATAAAGCTGAATGGTCTAAAATAAAATGCTAAAAATCATACTGAAGAACAATAGGACTAAATTTATCAAACCAAGCACGTGGTGATTGTTTCAAACCATACAATACTTTCTTCAGACGACACACTACTTGTTCCTTACCAAATACAATATAACTTGGAGGTTGTACCATACGTATGAATATAACTCCTCTTGCAGGTGTCCATGTAAAAGGTATTCTAGATGTCCAGTTGATATAGAGGTCAATCACAACTTACGACAACCAAAATAAGAACTCTAACAGAGTTAAGATGAGCAATATGAGAGAAAGTCTCATAGTAATCCACGCCGTCTAAGTGTAGTCTTTGGCAACCAGATGGGCTTTAAAATGCTTAACTGAACCATCAGAATGTTACTTAACATTATAGACCCAATGACAATTGCAAGCTATTTACCAGAAGGAATAGAAGTAAGTTCTCATGTATGATCCTCATTAAGGGCTTTCTTTTTCTAATTCATAGTCAGTTTCTAATCAAGAGATGTTAGTACCTATTGAAAAGAACTAGAAACAAATACTGAAAACAAAGTCAATGCAAAACAACAAAAGAATGGTGAAAACCGATGCACAAAAACAAAATTAGATATGAGATGCTTTGTAAAATTATGGGTACATTTTCTCAATACAATAAGTAAATCAGAAGATGATGAACTAGTTGACAGGTCAAGGGGTAGGACCTCAATAGAATTAGGTGATGACTGTGGAGCTGAAACATGTAAAACAACCTATCTGTCCTTGGAACGATGATGAATCTGCAAGGGAGGAGGACTAGGGGAGGAAGAAGATACACAGTCTACCATAATAGGCAACAAGGGCTCCCCCTAACTTGAAAATACTAAATCTAGGGAAAGTATATTGCCTGACACAGAAAAGATGGAAGATAACTCAAAAAATGTGACATTAGCACTGACATAGTGTCAACGAGAAACAAGGTCATAGCAATATTACTTTTCTGAGTATAAGAATATTCNGGCAACAAGGGCTCCCCCTAACTTGAAAATACTAAATCTAGGGAAAGTATATTGCCTGACACAGAAAAGATGGAAGATAACTCAAAAAATGTGACATTAGCACTGACATAGTATCAACGAGAAACAAGGTCATAGCAATATAACTTTTCTGAGTATAAGAATATCCCAAAAAGATACACTTAACCAAATAAGGTGAAAGTTTATATGTACCCAACTCAAGGAGATGAACAAATGCAACACAACCAAAGACACGAGATATGAGACTAAATGGTGATTTATAAGGATAAAGTAATGTAAAAGAAGATTTGTTGTTCAAAATGGGAGAAGACATGTAATTAATAACATAAACTAAAGTAAGTAAGAGTAGCAACGGCCCAATATAATTTTAACTGTTATGTCCTCCTTGTTTTTTACATAGTAAAAATTATCTCTATTTCACCTCCTACCTTATTTTTTTTTTTTTTTGAGTGGATAGGGAAGGGAAAGAAATGGGAGACTTGAACCCTTGACCTCTACAAAATAAAATCTTTATAAAACAAAAAGTATTATAATACCAAAAATTTACCGATAAAAAAAACAAAACTGTAATGAGTGTTAACCTTGAATAATGTGTCCTTTCACCTTTTTATAATACTCAAAAAAGGAAATAGGGGTCCTACAGTAAACTATATCTACGAACCCCAGGCTCCCCAGCCAACCGAAAACTGGTAAAAAAAAAAGGGAAAAATATTTAAACGAGGAAAAAACAACAGAAAATTTTCCCACTTTCAAGAGAATAGCCTACACCTGTCCCGTATAGGTATCTGATATTTCTTTCAGATTTGCAGCCTATGTTGAATAGTGTTACAACAGTACCAAAGCATGCATTTGGAAAACAAAATGCATTAGAACTCACTACCTTAAAAAAACCAGTGAAAAAAATGCCCACAATCTGTCCTAAGGAATGCACTTGAAAAATTACAAAAGATATCACTACACTGAAAAGAAATATAATCCACTGAAAAAAAATGTTCACAATATGTCCAGTGTCAGCTAGTTTATGCGAGCAATTGCCACGTTCAGGTACTAACCATAAATCATTACCTATGTTGAGGGAAGAAGAGAACCAGACATACCAAATACTGAGACACATAAGGAAAGAGACGGAAGCGGAGGAAGAGAAAGACTCACAAACATTTCTTCGAATTTCGATCAAAGTAAGAGACCATCACAGTGCACGCCCCACAACCACCTTCACCACAGCCTAGCTTTGTCCCTGTCAAACCTATGTCTACATATACATATAGAAGAAACATCAAATAACACGAAAGATGGAAAGAATTGAGCCAAAAATTAAACACGAACACAAGCATGTATATACATTTATCAATATGTATGAGACGAACTGGCAGAAGAAAATTGGAAAAAAAACAAAGAAACGAAAAAAAAAATGAAAAGGGTCTTGAAAAGCCGTAAAGAAACTGAGCATAATTCATCTTGTCAAATCAAATATTAATTTTCCTTTGCTTTTCTTGTTTATTTCTTCAGGTTTCCCTGCAACAAAGCAGAGAAGGGCAATCGAATTTCAGTACCCAACAAAATTAAGAAACACAAATCCCATTTACCTCTGAGATATTCAAGTAGAGTCATAGGAGCTAATCCATCAGGCAGTACACGACGAACCCCATTCACGTACAAGATTGGATCCGTCGACTCCATCTCCAATTCATCTTCGGTCTTCAACGACCCCATCTCTCTGTGCGAGTCCTTGTGTGTAAAAAACTGTATATAGATATATGTACACGAATTCAATATCTACCCAGATGGTTGAAATTCAAGTTTTCATCGGAAATAGAATCGGAGCTGATACTCAAGAATCAGAGCTTGGAATATCTGCAAACACATGCGTGCTTGCGTGCGTGGATGTGTACACCGTCAACTTGTAGATTAAATTATACTTTGACCCCTTTAATTATGATTCTTTTTTTTGTTTTACCCCTTAAATTATTAAATTTTTTATATTATCCCCTATACTAATTTAATTATTTAACATCACCGTAATATCTTTTTAGAATGAAATTTTTTGATATATTGGGGCTTGGAGAGGTGACAAAAGTGTAGATGCCCCAATGCTTGGAGAAGCCCCAATGCTTGTGGCGGTTTGGAGAGGTGATGAAGTTGTAGATGTGAGTGTGTTTACGGCCAATGGGACTATGATAGGTGGTCTTAGGGATTAGGTGGTGTGGTTGGTTTGATGGTGTACATGTTTGGTATGTTGGCCTAGGGGTGTAGTTGGGTGGGTGTGAGTGTTTGTGGTGCAATGACAGTGAAGGTGGTGTACGAATAGGCATGGTTTTTGTTATTGAAAGATGTCGTGGCAATGGCGATAGGAGTGGGGGTGTAAATTAAGGGTGGTTGTGGTTTTTTGAGGGTTGCGGTTATAAGGGCAATGGATTGTTCTAAGCTGGGTGCTTAAGTAATTGGAGACAAAGAAGAATATAGTACAGGGATAGAGAAGTATAGAAGGGTTGTATAAGTATTTTGGGAAAAAAAATTTGCATCACATCAACATATTTTTCTTTGTCAGTAACGAAGATTTACGGTAAGAGATGTGATTAAAATAGTCAGATGAACTAGAAAAAAGTGTAATAAAATTTCCGATAAGATATGGGGTGACATTGAAATTAGGCTTATTGGTGCTGATGAAATTGACCGGGTCATAAGAATTGCTTGATTTTTATTTTTTTGAGGGAGGAGGGGACCGGGACCGGACTACGACTAGGACTAGGACGGGAATGGAGACGGGGGATGGAGACGGGGGAAGTAGTTTGAACCCTTAACCTTAAAAAAATAAAAATTTTATAAAGTAAAGAGTATTATTGGATCAAAAATTTATTAGTGATGCACAAAATTTATAAATTTTTTGTACTTTCCTTTTTTTACCCAATCACTTAGAATATCAGATAGAAAATCATAATAAATTATGGTATCATTTGTTAAAATTTTACCTTAATTTGAGGTAAAAAAAAAAAAGATGAAAAATTTTATTTGGTATTGACGTCTTTAATAAAGAAACTCAAATTTATAAGAAGGCAAACTCAAATTTTAATGAGAACAAAATTAAATTTAAATGAGGATAGAATATGACCATTAGATCTTTAAAAGAAAATGAAATCTAATCATTGGTAATTTGAATAAATGTTTGAGTCTTCTTGATTTGGTACGAGTTGGAGTATAACATTGAAGAAATTTGGATTTAAAAAAAAAGGTAAGGATTAGATATGCTCTAACCCATACTACTAATTATGGTGTCATCTCTTAATCACTGATAATTTAATAAAAAGACAAAAAAAATGTTTAATGACCACTCCTAAAATATATACATTATCCTTAATTTATTATCTCAAATTATTATCTCCATTTGAAATTGTTGAATTTTCTAAGGATAATCTTCGACACTTCCAACGCAGACAAGATCAAGGCTTGGCTGTCAAGTGTTCATGTTGATCGTCCATCAGTAGTCAAATGGTCTGCTTTTCCGGTAGGTTTTTGTAAAATAAATTTTGATTGGTTCAATCTTTAATTCTTGTGGATGCTCAGGCGTGGGAGTGGTGCAGTGGAATCATGCAGGACATTTTTTTAGCAGGCTTGAGTCTTGAATTGGTTGGACAACTAAGTGCTAATAACGTTGAAGCTTGAGCTGCTTTCACCACAGTTCGTCTTGGCCAAGCACTTGGTTTTAGGAGGAGTGTTTAAGTAACTACTGATGCTATTCAGAAGACTCAGTCAGATTTGTCTTAGATAGGAAATTTTGTAGAGAAGATTCAGGCTTATGGTTCCTCTTTCAAGTCTTTCTCAGTTTCTTTGGATTCATAGGGGAGGTAATGAAGCTGCTAATTGTCTTGCTCATTTTGCTATAAATTATAGTTATCAATCTCTATGGTTGAAGGACGAGGTTCCTTCTTTCTGGTTGTCTTCCATCCATAAAAATGTACTCCTCTATGGTGATTGAAATATATATCGTTATTTTGTCAAAAAAAAAAACTCATTCTTCAACTATCTTTAAAATTGCTAAAAAAAAATGTAACATAAACCTCATAAAAATGTCACATAAAATCAATAATTTGAGGGACAACAATAGTATTTATCAATTACCACATAACCACTTAAAGTAAAATTAAAAATTCTAAGTTTAAAGTGGCACAATTAAAAGAATATAAACCAAAATACAATGGGATGCGCACTTTACATACTTAAAAAATATATTCCGTCCTTCGCTTTTTGTTAAGAGTAAATTGAATCTATAATTACCCATAAAAAATAAATAAAGTAATACGATTTTTATCATAAAGTGACAAGTCACAAAGTTAAATTTGGATTTAGATACTCTTCGATCACAAGAAGAGGATTTTGGATCGTTCCATGCGTCGGTTAGCAAATGCATAAGGCTTGACGAAAGGTAGTATAAAAACTTATGCCTCGTATTCAGTTATTGGCCATTTATGACTTGGGAGATAATAAAACACGTGAAAATGATAGACATGTAGATTGTGCACTAAGTGCTTCTTCTCTAGAACATCATCAAAAAAGAGAGCTAAAAAACAATACTGATTAAAATATTTTATCTCTTTAATTTACTAGATTAGTAGATTGAACTCAAAATCTCAAGCATATTAACGTCTAAAGCCAATACCTAATAGGAATGGGTTCAGGGGTCCATTATTCTTGCATGTCATTCTAGGAAATTCTTCTTATTTGTCCTTGTGTGTGACCCGACTTGCATGGAATCTGATGATGCAAAAAGTTGATTATGCATGATTAAATTAGTTGAGTATATGCTATAAAATAATTAAAAATAAGAGATAAAAATTGGGTAGTTGGATTTAAGTGACCCAACCATTAAAGACAATTAATGATGGCCGAAAAACTCTATTAAAGACAGAGTATAAGGTAGTAAGACAGAGAGAACAAGAGTATGCTCAAGGTGAGGTGCGTGTCCTCCCCCATGTGTAGGGATTTTATAATTTATAGGCGCAGACACCGCAAAACCCAAGTTGAGACGATGACGTAAGAGTCAATGTACTATTTTGTCAGAGAGGCTAGCTACACTTGGAAATGAGCACTATCTTGAAGTAATGGTTATCTCGATGATTGTCCTCCCACGTGCGTTAACTCTTCTTAGACTCTTGAGTTTTAGGCTGCACCGAAGTCATGAGCTAAGTTTGACCAATTTTTTTATGATTTTAGCTCAACCCATGAATTGGGGTCAGCACTGATCTAAATTTGGACTTGTCAGGAACAATCAATTAAGAATAAAGAAGAACGAATCCAAAGTCCATGTATAGATGCAAATTTCAATATTAACCAAACAGGCAAAAGGTAAACCTCAAGAAAAAAAAAATCAATACTAGGGGTTTAGTTTGAGATACCCCCATTTTCTTAATGAATAGGTGATTTGTTTTTATATGAGATCTGCTAATCCATGTTATGCTCTACTTGAGTCCCTAGGGTGGTTAAATTTTTTTCTCATACATTATAATATTATTTTAAAGATCTAGACTTGATACTTGTGCCTTGCTAATTTTGTTTTACATGTTGATTTACTTCCTTAATTCGAAAATTACATTTTCAAAAGCCACGTGAAACAATTTTTATGACAATGAAATAATATTCTTCCATTTGCTGCCTAATGTGTTAATGTATGCCCCTTTTTCACTCTATCTCTCATTCGTCCCTCCTCCTCCTTCAGAGTCATTTATCCCTGTTAGTACAAAGTCATCAGTCTCTCTTTCTTTGTAGGTTTATGTTCGTCGCCCTCACTCTCATCCTCTTGTTGATGTCTCTTCTACCTCAGACGATGCAAGTAATACTTCTTAGTTAGTTGAGCATATTGATGTACCTGTTGTTAGTACTGATGAGATTGTAGCTACTAATCCAGTTATTTTACCTTATGAGACATTGTTAGTGGAGGATGATGATTTAGGGTGTCGTTATCCGTTGTGTGATCGTCGTCTAGTTGTTCGTTATGGTTGGACCGCTAGGATTTTATATCCAATCTCTACTTATGTTTCTTATGGTGAGCTGTCTCCAACATTTCGAGCTTAGAGTACGACCTTATCAAATATGCCGATTCCTCGCTCTGTTTCAAAGGCTATGCGGGAGCCTCAGTGGGTACTTGCCATGCAGACAGAGATGGACGTTCTTCAGCGTAATCATACGTGAGATCTTGTCTCTTTAGCTTCAAGGGTGAAACCTGTTGGCTGTCGCTGGGTTTACATCCTGAAGTTTCTTGCGGATGGTACTATTAATCGTCACAAGGCTAGGCTTGTGCCTGAAAGCTTTACTCAGATACCAGGTTGTGATTTTGATGCTACCTTTGTCCTCGTGGCAAATTGACTACTGTTCAACTGATTATTTCTCTGGTTGCAGAGTACTATTGACCTCTTCATCAGTTGGATGTGAAGAATGCATTTCTTCATGGTGATCTGGACGAGATTATTTATATGGATGCACTACTGGGCTTTCGTGGTGAAGGGGAGTATGCTGGAAAGGTATGTCGACTGCGGAAGTCTCTTTATGGACTGAAACAGTCACCACAAGTCTACTTCTCTCACTTTAGTGATGTAGTTGTACGCTTAGGGTTCACCAGATGTCATTCTGATCATACCTGCTTCATTCGACGAAATACTTCTAGACAATGTGTCATCCTTTTGGTATATGTTGATGATATTATTATTACTGGAGATGATATT